CACTTCGCGAATTGCAGCTGCCAACTCACAAGACATCCACCCCATTGGGTCTACAAGCAGGAAAGCAGAAGAGGTTCCATAGTTCATTGAGGGGAGAGCCAAACAATACGAAAGAAGCCCGGGTACTAGGTAAGAGCATTCAAAAACCACTAGTTTCTTACGGTCAGGCCATCGATGTTGGGTACTAACCACTGTCGTGCTTTGTTCTCCCTCGACCTGGAGGCAATACTACAGTGTTTATCACCGGAAAACAGCTGTTAGCCACATCATAACAATGAATGCAACTCGGTGGATCGACTGAACGCAGGAATTGCTGTTCAAAACGACGTGTCTATCTTCTCAACTCAGAAATACTTCCTGCTGGTAGTTAGTAGACGTTTGGATCTTCCAATTGCAGCAGATTTTTTCTGTCTTCGGAGACCCTTCATCAAGTAGAATCTTTCTTGGCCTGTACACACACACTTCAAATACTCGGCTAAAGTTCCCGATTGAGTGGGAAAAACAGAGTAGCAAGTTCCTGTCGGCAAGCTATCTATGTTACGTTTTATTTTCCTTGTCCTTCATACATACGAAACTGCTAGTTCCCGCTCCAAGTGAGGTACCAACGAGGTCTTCACTTTTTAATAAGGTTATAAACATCCAGACCATAGTTACTTCGAATGTCCTGCAAGAAGTTGAACGCTAAGTCTGTCTGAATCGATATAAGAGTACATTTCAGTACAATCGTTGCGTGTTTATGAAATTACAGCCACAGCTCCAGCAGAAATGTACTGAAGAAGCTGCGGTTTCACAGCGAAACGTTCAGAAATATCTCGTTTTGATTTTTGAAACACGCCGGGACTATCTTAAAATATATTCTTACAAAGTGCTCACTAGTATCAGTGCGATCCAGATGATCCGACTTCAACAAACAACCTGAAGAAATGAGTTGTGCCGAGGGCACATGGACGGAGGTACATAGGGCGAAGGCAGACCAAAACCACTGACTACTAAATCCGGTACCCCGCACTCCTGGGACGAGCCAGTGGACCTCATCATTTTGTTCAGCTTCCCAACACCAACAGAAAACAGAAAACAGAGAGCGGTCTGACAAGGAGAAATGGTTTTACCGTTGCAGGAAGCTAGGAATAGAACTCATCGCAGTTAAATTATGTCTGCTCTCCTGAGGAGGTAGAACACCTCAAGATAAGCCGTCACCTCTTAGGGCATCGTCAGTGACAGAGAAACAGTCGGGGTACATGCTGCTGTAACGCCAACCAGGCATCACAGGCTGATCCGTCGTAAGAGTGGGATCAGATTAACCGTGAATCACCAGAGAGGCGTAGGGAAAGTGTGCCTTTCTTGGTCTGCACAAAGCTGCAACCATAGTCGTGCTTGGAACACAGGGAATGGCGGGTCGACCCAGGTGACTAGCGGTAAAAACTGGACCTGGAAATCTACCTACCAACAGCGTAAGTTGGCAACCACGACCTACGTCTTCTCACCAAGATTGGTAGTTGTTCGCCTTGGCTCCAGGGTATCACTCACAGAAGCCATCGCAGAATGGTACCCTGCAGAAGATCAAATAGGATGTGCTTCAGGATGCTGTGAAAGTGATCCACGGCCTGCTAGACCGGAAGATAGAAGTTAGCCTCCAAGAATGTTACAGACAGCACAAGTCACAAAAGAAGTATCTAGTGAACTGGCCGTAGACGTAACGATGAACAGTACCGTCGCATCAGTTCCAGGATGCCAGAAGAGAAGGATTTAGAGTCCGACGCAACAGTACATCAACCTCCGAAGAGGTTCCCGTTTCGCCTCAAGCCCAGAAAGTAGCTTCTGGAAATATTTCAACTGCATTGTAAGAGGTCATAGAAGTAAATCACAGGAGTTAGGAGCAGTGTGCTATAATCTGCAAGCAGGTAGGCTTCTCACTGGGGGAATATGGCTCTCATTAGACATCGTGGACCATGAAATTTCTTTGCCTGACATGACCTTGTTGCAAAAGGATAGGCATTTTAAAGAAGGCGGATGAGTTGTCGTGTACGTCAGCATGCACCTAAAAGTCAATGGCGCGACTGGCAGTGTGTTTAGCCAGTCATCAGACTCCTTATGGTGCCAGTTAACCACAAACCAGGCTAAGTACCTGTTAGGGTTGGTATATAGGCATCATCTAAGCGCAACAGAGCGTAAGGCACAGTCGCTCATCGCCGTTTCGTTATCCACCTCGTAAGTCCAAGACCATGGAGTCTTCGTGGGAGACTTTAACACACTAGCGCTCAACCCCTCGATGTGAAGCAAGATGTGGACATAAATCTTTTGGGCACAAACTTTGAAACGCGTCTATGGCAGCAGGATCGATCGTGAAAGTTGGGGAGAACACTAGATGCAGACAAGATGGGCAAGGATAACCACTTGACCACGTTCCAACAGCCGATGACCTTTTGATAGACATCCCTTCACAGGCGAAATTGATCACACTTTGGTGAAACTGCCTCCATATCCAAGGAGAAATAACCAATGCTTGAGATAGGAGCGTTTCACCGTTACTGAAAAGCTGACTACCATCTCATGAAGACAGTGGTACTCACTAGCGATAGAGGAAAACCGGATACACACTAAAGATATTACCTGGAGCGCTGCAGAAAAGTGTCCCGAAATTAACCAGACGACCAGCTTTCAGACGCTCTTGGGTAACTTGCACAACCGAAAGGCAGATACAGAAGAAAAAGGGGCATGATAGAGGTGGCGCATATCAGATAAGCAGTCAGACTTTCTTGGCTACAAGAAGCTACGCAGCTTATGAAATTTAAGTTTTCGTAATGACAGGTGAGTATACTAGAGTGACGTGACCAAACAGCTAGGTCACAACCCCAAAAGCCTATGTCGGCCTATGTCGCAACGAAAACCGACGAATAAGGGTTTAAATCTGATTACAGGATCGGCCGGAGAACCTTTGAATGGCAGTGAGATAACGGGACTGTTCAGCAGTTGGTCTGGCGGACAACTCAACACAGTGATGCATCTACTACCAACACCTAGTAATGCAGTGAAGTTCCAGGGCTGAGACAAAAACTGATGAACGTAAAGATTTCGCCAAATGAAGTGTTTTGCGGAGCCCTCAACAGTGAGGCTAGGGAAATCTCCGGATTATGACGACATTAGACCAGTGGCCTTACGGAACTGCACCGAGGTGTTTAGCATGCCCACATGTTCAAGCACTCGTTGGGAGTAAGTGAACTCCCTAAAGAAGGGAAGCCTGCTCACCTTTCGCCAGTCTTCAAGGGAGGAGACCAGAAAAGTCCGTGCAGTTACAGACCAGTAGCACTACTTCCCATACTTTCCAAGGTACTGGAAAGCATGGCTGTAGATGCTGTCTGTAACTACCTGAACGGAAGCAACATCGTTCTTCCCACGCAACACGGCTTCAGAACCGGGCGACAACGTGCCAAAAACTTGATGACCGCTTAGGATGACTGGGCCAATTGATAGGACAACACGTACTTGGTCCACATTATCTTCCCAAACTTAGCCAGAGCTTTCGATAGCGTCCCATAACACACCGTACCCCTTCGACCTGCAAAAGTGGGTAGTACTGAACCGCTCTTATCGTCGTCCTCACGATATCTAGAGGGCAGAGAATTCCATGCTAAAGTAAACAGAATTCGATAACCTGGAAGAGTGCAAGAACAGGCGTTTCTCAGGGAGAGATCCCTGGACCACTCCTATTTTCACTTCTCGTCTACCCTCCTATTTGCCGACGACATCAAAATGTGGGGACGATGGGTGAAGAAGAGGATCTTTAAAGCACTCCGAACCGACCCATTGGAGCTGGAGTCCTGGTCAGCTGCAAACGGTTTAAGCTTTAGTCTAGAAAAATGCAAGGTGATGTGTCTTCACACACCAGAAGCAAATAAAGCCAACTACACTCTCAAAAGGTGTGAGATGACCAAGGTATTCATAGAGAAGGACCTACGACTTAGCTTCTCTGACATACCGAATACTATTGGCGACTGTGAGGAAATGGCAGCAAAGATGAATACCATTATACACTGTCTAAGAAAGCATTTCGTTGCACCAGCCCCAGAATTGTTCTTTTTGGTATTCAAAACCTATGTGTTTAAAACGATAGCCCCCTACTACCAAATTAGTGGCACGAATACTTTCGGGAATGTGCAGAGAAAAGCGACAGGGTTGGTTGTCGGACCAACAGGTAAGACATATGTGCAAAGCCCTGGTCAACTCGACTTGTGCACGTTAAGATATCGAAGGAACCGAGGTGATGTGACAACAGCCTACATGATCATTTCTCAGATGGACCACCCAAGTAGGTCAACAGTATCGGCCCGTAAGCGACAGTCTCGCGGGAACCCCGTTCGCATACCCCACCATGGGGGCAAAGACGGGGACTAGATTAAACCGCCTTTCACACAAAGTATGTGCCTTATGGAGCTGTCTACCGAAGGAAGTGGCCACAGCTACATCAGTTGACTTCTCGAAACGACTATTGGATGAGTGCATGAGCGCTACTGGCTTACCACGAACAATTGTCAGTAGCAGCTGACAATATTCTCGTCGATCCCTGTATTCCCCAACCCTAGTATCTGCGCCCATTCTCCTTATCACTACCAGTAGCACTTGTCTTTCCAGAAGTAATTTTCACTCCTCTCCCCTTCCACTCTATTCCTGGCACTGTTTAAGTAACGCTTAATACTCATTTGCAGCTGCTAACAAAAACGGGAACTGTAGGAGGTTAATTATTCTTATCAGCAACTTCACCGCCCTTAAAACAAACTAAGCCACAATTTACAAGCAAAAATACTTTGAAATAAACGGTCGCTACCTCCAAAGCTAGAAGCAGGAAAAACGTAAAGACTTCTGCGTCCACCAAAGGAGAATAACCAAAAAGAAAGAACCAAGCCAAAGATCTAGAAGAAAGAGCCCAAAAATTACAAATTACCTCTAGTCGCATTGATGATGTTGGATGTAAGATCATTCTACATTGAACTTTGTTAGAATTAGCTTCTTGAAGTCCCAATCGCAGACATTTTAAGTGAATGGTCTCAAACAGTTTTCATAAATCTGGTTGGCAACTTGGTTTTCTCATGTACTTCCCATAATGAGTACTGTAACTCTGAGGTGGATCGGCGATTTAGACCAAGACAAACGTGAGCAGGCTGGATGTGTTAGTTCATCGAGCGACCAATATCGTCCGAAAAAAATAGAACTGAAACCTGGACAGAAGGAAATTCGAATTGGGAGAATCAACACAAAAATTCCTCCTGACTATGCGATTGAAAGCTGTATCAACAGCCGCATGATATCTCGGAATCATGCCACTATTGAGCGTTCCGCTAAGGGTGGTTCAATTCTGTATGATCACAGCATGAATGGCACATACGTTAACTACACCAGAGTCATGGGTGGAGTGACTCTTAAACATGGAGATATTGTGTGCTTTGGTCACCTTAATGGTGCAAATCTGAAACCAGGAGAGCCAGTGGCACTCTTTTACTCCGACCTAAAATATCGAGTAGGTTTACTGATGTCATTTCCTTTATGGTATTACGCCTTAGCTTTATTTTTATATTTATCACTAAGTTAAATGTCTGTTCCTACACCGTAGCGTCTTTCTTCAGAGGTGTATGTCGGTGCCATGCTTAGGGACGCTATGTTATGAGAAGTCAACGACCGTGTGGTGGCGTCATGGGTTCTCAGTTGTGATCATTTCTCGTTCACTCGTCTGACGTAAAACGACATATCAACTGGATAAATAGTGAAGACAAGATCTGTAGGTATAAATCTACCATGCTGGATGAGCTTATATAACTTATCATGCTGTCACATTACAGTCAATTAGTGGTGGGTTCGTGAACATATTCTTTAATAATCAGTTTTCTCACCAGAAAGTGTAACAACGAGCAGCTCCATAAACCCTTTCCTGATGAAGGAATAAGTATCTAATATCACTAAGCAATGCAAGGCCTCATGTTCTTGTGAGTTGAAGCATTTTATTCAAGCATTACGCATTTCTGCAGTATATACTTAAGAACTCTACAGGGAAAAATGAGGTGTCGCAATTTGCAACAGCAAGAATGCGAGTCACACAAAGTGCCTTATGTTCAAATTCCAGTCTCAGCACTCTAAAAATACGCCTTTTTAGACTTCTGCCTATCCTTTTTGGATCATTTAGACTATGCACGCAGATACACTACCATCTGAAGGTATTAGCTCGAAGCTTATCGGCGTCCACATGAAGTTTGAGTAAAAGCCGTTACATTTTCTACCCATTCATCTACTTAGTCACGCGCTTCTCACTTGACCGGAACAATGGCGAATGTCGTGCATACCTGTAGCACAGTGCTCAGAACCAGGTTACAACTATTTGCATGGCAAAAGGCCATTTTATATTGGAAGCTTATGAACAGTTCGACATTAGCCTACATTGAAGTCATCTGGTAGGTAGTCCCAATCCTGCGATGGGTTCCGGTAGACCTTTTTCCGCTTTCCGTTTGTTGAGGAAAAGTGACCACCCCATGAGAAATGTATGATCCCGTTTTGTTAAACTCTTCATCTTTTGCATTGTGGAAAAGCAAACAACAAATTAGCTTACAAAGGTTACTCTGTCACTTCGCTTCTTGTCAGATGCTAAGCTTCAGCTGACAAATTTGCAAGTTTGGAAATTCTGGTAAAATATGTGCTACTTGTGTCACATGCATGGATTATATTCATTAGGGAGAGTAAACTTTCATCGTGACCTTTACTATCTTGTCCTGCTCTGGCGACTACTGACGCCGATAATATTCAGTGCGTGTAGTACCTATTATGGTTTTCTTTCAAACGCTTTTCATTTCTTTTGGTTGATGTCAGTTGGTGTAGTACCGTGCACAGTGACCATTCAATCCTAATCGGTACCGTTTAGTCACATAACGCATGCAATTAGAACAGCGAAACTCGTTTTTTTATCCCTGTTTACCAAGTCGTTTTTTTGTCCCGTAACCGAACGAGTTAACACACTTGCTTCATTAAAGCCACCACTTCACGTTGTTCAGTAATCCGATGCTTGACTGTCGAACTGAACTCGAATGGGATTTTAATCCACAAGTTTGGTTACTTTGATACTATCGAGTCTTTGATACATACTCAAGTAAATAAGAATTTGCGTAGTTTATATCATTGCTTTGAACGATAAATACGCGGTCAACGTGTGAAGTTTAGTTCCGATTACTTGGTGACAGGTTGCTAAATCTAAGGTCCTTTAGTCACCGTGTCGTGTTTAATAAATGAAGTAATAGCCCTCTTCTCTATCCCAAATCGCACCATATGAACATTTATCAATCAAATCATGATAATCCTCGGAGGGCTATGTTAGACCTCAAGCACATGTCTCATGGGTTCTGTGGTAATAAATCTTTTTCTCCTTTAGGTAACCTCAAAAAAGGCCTCCCATGGTGTGGGCGACCGGGAAGTGTCAACCACCCGCATGCTCCTTGCACTGCACAAGACCCAGTCAGACATTACCTATCCCACTCCACTCTCTCTTCGTGCATGCCGTCACCTCCTGATACTAGCATCAAGTTTCATACATTCCCCAGCCCCTCACTCTGCGACCATTGCCAACGACCAAATCCAAACTATGCCAAAGCGGACAGCAAGCACCGCTCGCCAGAACTCCAGAATCTCGAGTCATATATCCTATTTCTGAGATATGTATACAGGATTCGAGTGCGGTTATTAAATTGACCTCACTTGGTGGTTGTAGTAAATCTTCAAAACTCACTTTATGAATATCCGGAGAGCTAGTGGCTAGCCGTCGTGGACTCGCTGGTGTAAGCTTAGCATTAGGCTGTAGGATATAAACCTCACTTATCGACTGCACAGCAGTCAATAGCCATTTGTGTGCTGTTCGGCTGAATGGATCCGTGAGAACTAGTAAGGATCCCAAGACTAAGCGGTGCCTGTTCTTAAACGGGAACTGTGGCTCAGTGGTTTAGGGGGGTGGCTATCAACCATTAAGTCAAGGGTTTGAGCCCCGCCCCACCTACTGAGGTTTGGCACTCAGGTAGTATCATTAACCCCCACACACTAGGTGTGGTTCACTTCCTACTGCACGAATATGCAGACAGTGACTGAGTTGGTTTCATTCTGAATCGCCTACGCACCGACTGCAGTTCGAGTGATGCGAAGGATGAATTCTATGAAAGCTATTGATTTTACTACAGGAAGCAAAAGGTTCAGATGTAGTCAGTGGCAGTTGACCTGAACCCTCAACTAGGGAAGCTGACCCAATCAGAAAGGCATTTAAGGGACCGCATACCAACGGACCGACAATGGTGATCATCCGTTGTGATTTCTTGACAACCACTTGTTTGTGACTAGCACTAACTTCAAGCATAAAGAGAGACACTGTCTCACATGGTGTCCACTGACTTCAAATCGTTGTTGGACACATATAGATCATATTGCTACAAGCCATCGTCGGAGATAATCGTTGGAAGATTGTCGCTGTTTCTAGAGTACCAGTCTAGACTCCGACAACGCGTTGGTACACGTACGTATCTGCACCTTGCTGGTAGCTGGAAACGGGCGACGGTAAAGCCTGTACATCAGATACGCGTTTAGGGAGGAGATAGTGAAACATTTATCTGATGGTGACAGCGATGCTCATCTTCGGAAAATCTGTTGCGATATTAAGTCTTCTGTAGAAACAGTGGTAAACAGAGTTTGTAACCTACACCCGAAGGTTAGCAAACTCTGGATTTCCGCGACGTCATCCGAACTGATAGGTACGAGAAGACTAATTCCAGCTGACTCTGACCGCAAGGAAGAACGAAAGCAACTCAAACGTATGTTGACGAAGAGTCTCCGCAGTGATCATAAGCAGTAGTGAGTGGAGATGAAAAAGACTTCAGCGTTGGATGATTCCTTGAGATTACTTAGGCTTAATAAAGATATGTGTAAGAAAATGATGATGAATGAAATCATCACTGAAAAGGATGAAGCGCTAGTAATTTCTCAGAGCAGGCGGGTGACTTTGGACGGAGTACTTTGAAGCAACGTTCAGCCGGCCCTCAGCATGGCTTTAGTTACCCAGCATCTAACCCGAACCTGCTTGTGGCATAGGCTTCAGCCCCCCCAGCCGTCCTAGAAGTTAGGAAGGCTGTATCGAAGGTGAAACTGCTAAGCAGCTAGATGTGATGGTTTTCCACCCAAAGTTCTTAAAGATGGAGACCGGGAAGTGCTGATTAGAATATCGGAGGTACTGGGTAGTGTGTGTGAATCAAAAATAGTCCCGTCAGACTCGTCCATTTCATCCCAATCATTAAGAAGAGAGTAAAGTCTTCCGGTGATGACAACCATAAGGGAATTAGTTGACTAATATTGTGTCCGAGAGCTTAGGGTCCATGGTTATCCAACACCTAACTGGTGCTCGAGAAGACCAGGCAAGTTTCATACCTGAAAAAACCATCGTGTTAATTGGTTTTTCACCATTCAACAGGTTATGAAACAATGGCCGACGGTTAACACGCCGCATTTATCGGCCTGAAGGCGGCATTCGACTGTGAGTTATCGTCGCAGTGTCTCACTGTGAAGGGAGTGCCGACGAAATATATTAGGCTAATCGAAGTTTCCTACTCAAACCCTCATTGCCGTTTCGGGGCTAATGGAAAGTTGTCATCTTAACTGACGACGACTAGTAGTGTCCGCTAGGGATACCTGCTGTCATCGTTCTTGTTAAGCTTTGTTACAGATGTATTAATGGGCATAACCCTAGTTACTTCTGATTTCACATGGATTCACCTACTCCATGGAGGTCATCTGGTTGACTTGAAGTATACAAACGATATTGTCCTGCTAGGTAAAGATGCTTGCAAAATGCAGAGTCCCCTGGACGTGTCGATCGTAAATCTGAGTATGTTTTGCATGTATCGAACGCTATGTAATGCTCAGGGATTGGTGTGCAAATACTTCCAGATTAATGATAGGGTGAAGTTGTGAGTCTTGTTGGCCACTTCACTTCCTTGGGAAGCTGCATCAGCTCAAACGGGCTGGTTTTTGACGAAGTCTCAGCTTCGATACAAAGGGCCCGTTTGGCATTTACCAACCTCATCATGTCGCACTAGCAAGATATTCGACTATCTACCAAAAGACAAGTAGCCCGCGATATAGCCCAATGTGTTCTGCTGTACGGCTTAGACGTGGCTTTTGGAATTAGAATACATGGAGTGGTTGCAACGTTTTGATCATAGGTGTCTTCGTAGCATTGCTTGCGTTTGGTGGAATCACTGTGTGAACAAAGTTGAGGTCAGGTGAAGAGTACTAGACAAAACAAGCAAGTCAATTGATGAGATTGTGAACCTTGGTCGACTGAGACGGCTTGGACATTTGTTTCCCATGCCGAGTCATAACCTGCCTCGATGTGCCACGCTAGGGAAAGTTGGATTAGGTTGGAAGTGGATTTACGGCGACCGGATCAAGATGTGGCAGTCGATAAGGTTTATGACAGTTGGTCTGAGTCGTGTTGGGAGATGTGGACCACCCTGTTGAGGTCCTCAAGACGAAAGAAACCAGTTGTCAGTGACTCTTAGTAAGATGGCTGAAAATCGGTCACAATGGCACAGATGTGTTCATTCCTTGACATCCAAAGCTTAAATACTCTCACTGACGTTCAAGTTGTCTATTCTCTCACACAACTTTGTCTACTTTGAAGTCACTTTTTCTATCGACTTGTTCTTTGTGTTTTACTGTGTGGTGTGGCAACTTGAATCAACACACATGTGTATGAGGTTCTACGTTGTTTTTGTCTGTCTGATATCCTTAGCTAGTTTATGTGTGCTTGCACCTGTTCTTGATATACTATCGTTGAATTTTCGGTCTTAAGTATCTCACAACTCTGATGTAAGGAGTTGTAGCTCATTGGTCTATGCACTCGAGTTTCACCCAAAAGGGTCATGGGTTGAAATCCCACTCCACCTACAGAGTTTCAATCCTTCAAGTACTATTATTAGCCCTCATAATAGATGTGGCTCATTGTCTACTACACTTGGTGGTTGAGTGCATTTCCAGTGGTAAAAGCTGCAACTAGTTATCCTCTTACAGACTACAATTAACTTAAGGCAACTTCGGACATCTGGGTTGTCATTCTGAACATACTCCACTCACATTTACATCAATGACGGTGTATTGTGCTCTCAATAGAGGCTCTTTGCAACCCACTACATAGGCGTATGACAAGATAACCCTAACTTTGCACTCCATATTCAAATGCTTTTTATTTTGATATCCTGTGCAACTGGTCCTAAAACAACCTTTATGCATTTGCTTTGTTTAATGTCTTCTAGTGTTTGTTTCTGTCAATGTAATTTGTATAAACATATTCACTGTTTTATATTGAACAGGTGGAACTAAGTGATTCCCCAACTAAGGAAAACGTTGTAGCAGGAACAACTAAAAAACGCAAATCATATCCTGCACAACCAGGTTCTACAGTATCTTCCACACAGCGTTCCGATGGTGAAGATGATTCAATAGGGTCAAGTGATGACGGCTCAATTGATGCTAAGCGACCTAAAAGTAATACAATATCGGGTGCATCACGAAGTGCTAATCGTCAAAAGTTCAAAAAACCCGTATCTTCAAATCGCCACAAATTAGATGAAGAAGATGATGGAGATAGCAATGAAGACGCTGATGACAATTCCAATAACAAACGTATGAGTTCTGCCAGTTCTAAAGCAATCAAAAAGCGTTCAAATGGCACAGAGAAGGTCAAAAAATCCCATTCCAATTCTGTTTCTCGTAAAACTAGCGGAACGAAGCCTAGTCATTTACACAATAAGGAGAAGCGCCGTTCAGGAAAATCAAGTAAATCTGGAGTTTTTGATGCCGAAGATGATGCCGGTGGTAGTGAAATGTTTCATTATGATAGCGAAGAATGTTCAGCCAGACCATGTAAGCAGCCTCAAGACATAGCGATAGACTGGATCCAGTGTGACCGTTGTACTTTATGGTATCACCAAGTATGCATAGGACTGAAACCAAGTGAAGCAAACGTTGAAACTTACTACTGCCCTTATTGTAAAAAGTGACTTCTCTGATTGGGGTCAGATAGTCTGTCCAACTTCTGATCACATTTTTATTCGTGTACATAATAAACAATAAAAATGAATTTTATTCTGATAAGTCTAATCTTAGAGAGATCCAGGTGTTCTACCAACTTGTTGATATTTTTATGCATGCATTTGGATTGATCTCATTCTCCGTCAGAATATGTGGCACCCTCTTGACTGGTTTCTTTTCTGTGCTTTCACTTTGAATTAGTATTGATACCTTTCAAGCAGCTGTTCAGATTCATCATTAATGATTTGTGTGAATAGAAGTACTTAGAACTGATTCGTTTGTCGGTCACTTCCTCTTCTCTGAACTGACTTTGAAAGCATATGTACATACATTAACTAATGAATATTGTTTTTTGGTCTTCTGTACTTTAATTTCTACTTGAATATAAGTTTATTGTCCTTGTGTCTATTTAAGTAGTTACATTGCTATGTTGCACACTGAAGCATTTTCGATGCTGCTACAACAATGTTAGTTACCAGCATCTTTTACTCCCATCTTGAATCTTTTATGGTTAAATTTGTTGGCTTTCATACTTTCACACTGCTTATTCATTGCTCATAAATAATAATATGGCATGTAATTATTGTTGTGTTTTATTTTATGTGATTGTATCCATCATAGTATGCTTGATCATGTTGATAATTCCCCTTGTCATCAGTTATTTTCTGTTGCTGATTAGTTTCCAAGACTTATTTATTCACAGTTGTCAAGCAGACAAATAATGCTATTGCCTTCAGGTTGTCACTCCATTATGACTTCCAGGGAAGGTTACATATGTTCCTGCTTGATCATTAATTTGGTCCTTAATATCTGACTTTCCGGAAGCATAAGTTTTAATTCAAAGCCGCGTATCGTGACTGCTATTGCTAGTCGTGCTAAGGGTCTGTCACAGGCCATATAAAATAGTGAATTGTACAGTATACTCCTTCAGGTCAGTACATCTATACTTAAGTTGATCTGCATACATCTGTCAAAAGGGATTTCCCATACTCTTCCCATGATCCTGTCTATACTATACTTTTGTAATGTTTTACACTAGCGAAACAAAATTTTGTAGATTGCTGCCGTTAACCTTTTCTGTTACCGAGTTATCTGGAAAGTTTTTCTTCATCTTAGATGCCTTTCTCTTCTAATTCTTGTTTAACTTTCCATATCGCATCACTTTCTGTCATTGCAAATGACTTCGTAGCTATTGGGCGGTGATATTGCATTTATTAAAGTAGTAAAATGGAAACAAGAGGCATCTCGTTTCAGATCGACTTTGGTTTATTGTTCAGCGAGTTTATGTAAGAATTATTAGTATTGTCAGTAAAAAGGTCACAGTGTTTATAAAAGTGGTTGTTTGCGTTTCAGTACCCAGACGGTAAACACTGCTAGTTCAGACATGATTGAAATCGACATTCCGAATTCTCATTGTAGACATCGAAAGACATGTTAGGAAACATAATGACTAAATTTCGGTTTCATGGTGTTAAGTTTGCCCAAGTATTTTGAATAGCATAGGGTATCATCATTGGTTCCCTGTGTAATACATTCTTTGGAACTCCATTCGCACTCAAAAGGAGATCAGTTGTTGACGCTGAAACGTTATGACAACAGAGGCGTTGCTTGCAATAAGTTCCTCGTTTATGGTGAAGGTGATATTGGAAATTTCTGAATTCCTGGCGCTCGTGCTACTTACATAACCACATTGGTTTTCAATCCAGATTAATTGTTGTTCTGTGTATAAAGGAGGCTTCTGGAAATGTTAGGTTACTTAGTTTACATGTGCTGTCGTAAGCCCTGGGTGTTTAAATCCCAGATAGCTTACAGGATTTGTGTGAGCATGTGTATATTCTGCAAGGAAAATTGTTTTGTCAACTTGCTGGATCTGAGTTTCCTTCGTGTATGAAGCTGCGTTACAAACAAATCCGACAGTGAAGCAAACTTATTGTGGTTTAATGTAAAAAAAAGTTGAATACGGTGTGCCTATCTAGGCAGTGGGGTGGATTACTTATTGTTTACCTTTTTTGCTACCAACTATATTTGTTGACGATGAGGTTATGTTTATTTGGGTAACACTGGACAGAACGGTGTACTGAGAAGTGTAGTGTTTATGTCAATAATTATACTATCTGGAGCAAAACTAAGATGGGAGAAACTTTACCATGAGCTTACTGAAATATACGATACACAGATGTTTACAGTTTACAGGCTATTTTAATAGTAATTATTGTTATTAAACATCTCTGTAAGGTGTGTAACCTCAAAATATCCATTTCTTCGGTAATACAATAACAACAAGCCTAATAGAAAACGGTGTATTCATATTTCATCACCTTTTTGTGTACGACGTACTGAATATGAACACTACAAGGCACATAAGGATAGAAGTAATTTACACACTTTAGTGCTATGTCAAATAAGCAAATCTGATATGGAATTGCATCCTACCACAGTGCCCAAGTCTTAGACGCAGATTGGTGAAAAACAACGGATTTAAACAAGCAATCTAGGGTATATGTGTATGCGGGTTGTTGCTGCTCTACACTATAAGATGTTGAAAAATTGGATGAGCTAGATAACCTGTGTAAATAATGAGTTGATAGTGCGAAGACAAAGTTGGGACATTCTGTTAAACTTGTTGTTCTTCCTTCAATTACATTCATGAACTGGGCCAATGGTATAAATATATTTCTATGCATTGAAGCAACGAGTGAGATTATTTCGCTTGTGCACTTAATGTGTAGATTTCCTCCTGCATGTCTGTATAACAACCTCTCAAGTACTCCACATTTTGAGTTGAATAGAATTATGGCTAATTAGAATTTGAGATTAGAAGCTTTGCATTATTTGTATATGTACACTATGAAAGTAAACTTTTGTCCACCACTGATGGCTCTTTCACTTATATTCAGCTGTAAACTGATTTAGCACACCTAGATACTACTTTCATTTTCTGAGTGAATTCATATATTAGTGGTAATTATTCGAATTGTGATGCAAGCATTAACTAGTGGTCTATAAGTTCTTTTTCAAAAAGAATCAACTCTAACTGTTGTCTGATACAGTATAGATATTTGATTAGGAGTTATAATTAGGTTAGTCACTAAACTTTTGACCCATTATGATTGTGATCACTTTTTTAGAAATGCTTTTATAATTCACCTTTGTTCATACCACACTATCTCATTACAAATAGCATATATGACAACTAAATTTCCAAATTATCCTTTGAGTGTATATGTTACACAACCGTAATAATGGTCTCAGCGTAAGAATCAGTTCTTTGGTCATATCGCATGTATCAGTTACCCACTAGCGGCCGATGTACTCATAAAATCCTTAGTACTGATCAAAGCTTATCCATCAAGTTCTCAATGTGGCTGTTAAGCTAAGTGAAACAACTGCGGTGAACTTTGCTTTTGTATTTGAATTTAAGAAGCATTGAACCTTGGTTATCTGTGTTTGTATTCATTATTAGGTCGTGTTTAAAGCAATTCAGGAGCTGATGTACCCCTGGAGGTTTAAACCTGCGTCACTAAATGCTCATTTCAGGGATTTCGTGCTGTCCTGAATGTTGTGGATAAGTATTACTAAGGAGTGTATTAAGCATTGGCTACAATGTCGGCAGAATCCATCTGTATAGATGTTCCTTTTTATCATATAAAAAGAAGTGTAATCTGACATGTCATACTTACAACCCTGAGAGTTTCCTACCGGAATCATGGTCTTTGGAAGTAAAAACAAAATATATAGCTTCACTGATCTAGATCAGGGCGGAAAGGTGCTTAGATGCTTGACAGTCAGCCGGGGGTAATGCTAGTTCATTTTGAAGACTCCTACAAGTACTATGTTGAGCAGTTTGGATCAAGGCTTTTAAACTAGTGATTTAGTGTAGTTTCAGCCTTGTAACTCTAGGTGATTGCGCTTCAGTTTCCTATTCAGTATTTGTTTTTGAAAATACGGAGTTTTCTTTTAGTTCAATCCAACCTTTCACTGCACATGTTAAGAAGGAACGATAACAGGAAATTATTCGTTCAGTTCTTACATCCAATTCATCAGTCTGCGGAAACGAACTCAAAGTGTATCAGTTGTCTTAGATATTTTTGCTGAATACAACAATGTGACATCCAGACCTAAGTGGCAGAATTAATAAAGGGGTTCAAAAAATAGGGCTGATGCACCTATCTATCACAGAATTCGTATAGGTTCAAAATGGAAGTCTCTGAGGGAGTGAAAATGCTAGCCTGATCTTTCAGAAACTCAAATAAAATTAATCTACAGCTATCTAAGCGATAATTTTGAATGCTTCAATCGAAACTTGACTAACTGCCATCATAGTTGAATATTTCGTATAACTTGGGTAATAGATGCTGTTGTGTGACATCAACTGAAATAGGATCAGGTTACAAAGCAATTAAGAGTATTTAAAATACAACCAATACGTCTTCGACTTATTATTAAGGTTTTCCAGATGGCAGGGATCACCGTTTACAGATTCATGACCATATGACTTGATTACAATTGATTATATAGATGTATTCATTGTAAATCGTAGTCAAAGCTCTTAACACCATTGACCTATTTCTGAAATGCTGTTATCATTCAACTTCTGTTTATTACCTCTTTGTGTTCTGTTCTGAAGTTTGGCCATTTGATCCATTCTTAAAACTGCCTTTTATCTCATTCAAATAAATAAGAAGATCGGATGCACAAACTAGTTGTTTTATTGGGCAAAAAAATGATTCAATGAATGTGTACAAGTTCAGTAAATTAGTGTGTATTTCTGTCACCAACATAACTGCACATATCGGAACTCCATATTGGATAACTATCTGTCCAGAAAACTACATGATTTCCCGTGTCGCTATTGCTTCGTAATCAGTCAACAGACTCATGAGGAGCATATTTTAGAATTTATTATTTCGATTGCTTTCAGCTTCGAATCTCTGCATTCTAACACAAACTAAACCAAAGTTTCATTCGAGGTTGTTAAAAATCTTGTTCGATTTATTGTGTTAGACATACCAGGTTTTGTTTTCCGTCCTTGTTTGGTAACCATTTAGTAGATATTAGAGCCACATCTATGTGAATTTGTAAATACTTTCGACCACTAGAGAATCGGAGATTCAAATATACGAAATTTACTTAACTTTGGTTGGGACACGTGCTACGTATGCTTAGTCACCGATTGCCTCGTCACACAGTGTTGGCCGAAGTAGGTTCAGGCTGGAAAAAGACTCGAAGCAGCCAGACTAAAACATGGCATCAATGTATGAAGTCTTTGTTTGTTGGTTTGAGCCATGTGGGGCGATGCAGACTATTCGGTTTTTCTCCGCGGGACAAGAGAAATCAGTGGTTGAAGACTAGGTGATATGGCTCGGAACCGATTTCAGTGGCGCAAATGTTTACACACATTATCCTCATCTTAGCGACGCTATACCGAATCTCACCATTTCCTCATTATTCCTTTCTCTCTTCGTATTTAATATTTCTTTCGACTGGATTTTCTTCATTGCCTTCTTCACTGCCTTTTTACTTGATATGATATGAGCTGTGGTAACTCGGACCGTTACGCAATAATGCCTGATCCTATGTTGA